TGATATTTATAAATGGATATTTACAAATGGAAAATGTTCAGGAAAATAATAGACATTTAGATAGAGAAAATTATTAGCGGTAGTTATAGCGAGCCTTGAAATGTTAAAAATATAGGTGCTTTATCATAATTATTAAACAGCATTATAGATTATGCAGTGAACAATATGTATTTTTTTTCAAAATACACAGATATGATAATATAAAGGATAAATGCATGAGGAAATTGCTATAAAAATACAAGGTGTTTATAAGAAAAACAATTTATTCGATCAATATTTTCTTTAGCAATAATAAACATATTTTTGGTTTTACCGATTAACATGAATCGCTCGCTCATGCTCGCAAATCTCTTATCATTATTGCTCTCTTACACACACACACACACACACACACACACACACTCATTCACTTGTATACGCGCTTATTTTTCTTTTCACGGTCGATGGACATGCACACAAATATCTTGAAAGGTACCTATTTACTGATTTATCGATCGCAATCTTTTTCTACACATACGTTTATATAATCATAATATATATAGCACAAAATTGCTTAACGCACGAGCCTCGTGTCAGACGTGTCGCGCTAATAGTATTCGCTAATTAATTAATTTACCCGTTTTAATTAATCAATTAAACCGGGAGAACGGTGCCTCTGCGCGATCATATTCGTCATTCGTCATCTTCGTCGCGGGACTTTCATCACTAGCGAATTAATGAAACGTCATTGTCGGACAATTAGTCTAAACTAGTCTTAATCGTCGCACATAATTAATCAACTAGTTAATCATAATGGTATGTTACAATCTGTACGTACGTACGAAGAACCGGGATCTCTGGTAAGCCTCGAGTTTCCGCGAGTTATCTCGTCGTCCTCGTCCGATAACTCGTTTAATTTGTATTTTATTTAAATTCTGAAGAAAAAAGAGAAAACCCGATTGTGCGCTACCAACCGATCAGGTCCAACTTATGCTATCTTTGGTCCTCTAGCCGCTATGATTCGTTGCCAGATATGCGAATTTCATTTGCATCGTCGCTTTTCGCGATCTCTTGTGCTTACGTTCACGCGAGGACGGATAATAACTTCGAAGATTTTGAAAAATTGAATATTCCTACGACAGGAGAAATATATCGTATTTACATAAAGCTTTCGCGAGTGCTTAAAAGCTATTATATTTCAAAATTTTATACGCGAGTCTGCGATCGTGTACATTGTAACATTAATTGTTTCTTTTTTTCTGTGTAGATAAAGTACAGCGTGCTTATCACTTAAGTTACACATTTCGCTTTCCTTTACGTATACAAAAATAATCACTTCCATTCACGTTTTTCTTTCACAGCAATAACTTCCCGCGGGAAGCGTATCTTAATTAATGACGTATAAAATCGACGTCAATATTGTACCGATAATTATAAAAATGTATGCTAAAGAGCGAGGATACAAATTAGAATCGCAAATAAACAAATAGAAGAATTAAAAAATATTAATCAAATGAGAGATCATGAAATGATCAAAATTGATCTCGTTAAATAGATGACGTTTCTCGATATAGTATCATTTTTAAAAACGGATGACTTTGGCTTCGATAGACTATGATATGTGATAGAAAATAGTATTTAGCTCATAGCTCTCGATTTATACATTTTTATTCTGTCATATTTAGATTTGTTAGATATCAATGTAAAACTGAAATAACACATATAAAAAATAGCTTCTCGATTATTCCAAGCGACAAATTAATTTTTACATCAATTACATGACTTTATTGATTATGCGCAGTCTTAATAATTTATCAACCAAGATGCTTACTTAAAATTTACAAGAAATGTTACATTCTTCAACGGTTATATTAAAACTAATAATATATAATTAAAGGAACGTATTAAAAATAATTTTGATATCTGCATCGAGGTGTTATGAAGCTTAAATGTACGTTAAACACACACATATTGTTTATGTATTTAGAGGTGGAGATGCACTTTTTTAATAGTAAGAGTGCAGTGATATTTCATGAATATGAATCGGATATACGACGATACTAAAGAAAGGCACGTTCAGGCACTTTGTTTTACTAGCAACCTCAGGTCAATCAAATCGAATTACATACATTTATTGCGAGGACAATTAGTAGTCCGAATTAAAATAAAAATTTTCTAATTTAGTTTCCGCGCTTGCTGTAAGCATCAAAACATCAATAATAATAATTGTAAAAGTAGAAATTTATTTACGAATACATGCAATATTCTGCATACGCGCCTAAAGAAATATATGTATATTTATATATATGTACAGTGTTCACCGTTCAATTTTGCAGATGCCATTACAATTATCATTTTTAACGACAGTTTTATATTGAAGGTTTAATTATTATTATATTGGTATTAATATACTCTAACTTGAGTAATATATTAGTGAAAGCGCGAACCTCAAAAAATATTTAAAAAATTAAAAGAGAGTTAGAAACTTGAATCTTCTTGATTGCACTAGTTTACAGCAAAAAATTACTTTGGACCATATTACGTGTTTCTTATAGATTTTTGGATGCTGAGAACAATGCCGCAAGCGAAAAAATTCTAGCACGTCGGATTTCCAAGATAATTGAAGTTTAATACTTCAAAAATAGCTTTTTTTGCGATATTTCACATTTTTTAATAAAGAAGGTTAACGTTATCTTGAAATTTCGATCAGGAGTCATGAATGTATTGTGCATCCTCTATAAGATGCATTTTTTTTTTATTTTAATACCTTACTTTTTAGCCATGTTATGAACGATTAAAGATAGGAGCTATTTTGAATATGGTGACTTCGGCAGCGTCGTATGTGTATGCGGATTAATTTCTTAGGGTCACATTTTGATAACTGTACCCTGATACTTTTATATACACAGAATTATGAGACTAATCCACTGGTATAATAAAAATACACATCGTTGCTTAAAAAAAAAATGCAATTAGTAATATGCAACTACATATCTTTCATAAAATAATTTTTTCTCTCTCCCCTCTTTCTCCCCTCCCCTTTCTCTCTTTCTTCCCCCTCCTCTCTCTCTCTCTCTCTCTCTCTCTCTCTCTCTTTCTCTATGTGTGTATGTATGTGCGTTGTTGTTGTTTTAAAATGATTTTAGCGTTACCGAATGCGTATATGACATTGCGGTCCTCATATTCGAAATAGCTCTTATCTTTAAGCGTTCGTAACATGGCTAAAAAGTAAGGTATTGAAATAAAAAAAATGCATTTTATAGGGGATGAACAATACATTCATGACTCCTGATCGAAATTTCAAAATAACGTTAACCTTCTTTATTAAAAAGTGTCAAATGTCGCAAAAAAGCCCTTTTTGAAGTATTAAACCTCAATTATCTTCGAAATCTGACGTGCTAGAATTTTTTCGTTTGCGGCATCGTTTTCAGCATTTAAAAATCTATAAGAGACACGTAGTTCGGTTCAAAGTAATTAAAAAAAAAAATTTTTTGTAAACTAGTGTTATCAGTGCAGCATCTTACAATCAAGACAATTAGATTGATGTCTCAAAAAAATCTTATATTTGTGTGAACTTTAAACATTTTTAGATTCATTTGTCGTACTTAATTATATTTCGATCAGACAACGCGACGTAAAAAAGAAGAAAAAAGAAATGGACGAAGATATCAGAAATAATATATCAAAACTTATGTAATAATAAATTCTATTTACGTTAAAAATATATCGGATGATACAGAAATACCAAGGCACTGGATGCGTTTTAATGAAAAACAAAAAAGTCATTTGATTTATGTAAATACTAGGACTCAGACAAAAGATTCGAACATGTTGAATGTTCGATCTATTCGAATAGTTCGAAGTTGAAAAAAATGAGCATCTAATTTGAATATTTCGGACAGTTCGAACTTAAGCAGTGATTAGTATGAAATGTCAATTCGTTATGTCTGAAGTTCTGACGGTTCGGACAGTAAACAAATATAGTATGCCTTGGAAACAAAAGAGCAGTTCTTCACGAGACTGTAATATACAAACATTACAAAAATGTGAAAAAGAAAAAGTCACGTGTGGGAATATTAATATTAATATTTATTTTTGCAATTTCTTATAGTTTAATATTTTAAAGTGCACTTAAAAGCCGTTGTGCACAAGCCGACGTAAAGATTTACTCGTACAATTAGCATATTAGTTTATTAGAAATAATTTTTTTCGTTTTTTCGTTTTACACTCAAACGTCTTTTTTACATCTAAAAAAAATTTTTCGATTTTTTTCAATCCGTCACATTAGGAAAGTTATTACACATGTGTAACAACGTCACAATATATATAATTGAATGTGCATATTAAATTTAAATAAAATTTCTATATTTATTGATATCGTCCTATACAAATATCTTGAGCCATCCTAGACATATTCAGGTTGATTACGACTTGTGATGTCTGAGTTCGAAATGTAATAAATTTGAACTTTCAGCTCTGAAGTGGGTTAAAATAGTTCGAACATACATTCAGTCCGAACTATTTAACGTTCGAACTTGAGATTCGAACTGTTCGAACTGTCAAATCGTCTGATGTTTCCGAGCACTAGTAAATACTTTGCGTTCGATTACGTGCTTCACACTTTATAATAATTATACCGAGCCAAACAAATTAATCAATTTATAGTTTCTAATAATTATACCTTCGAAGAAAAGATATCGCGGTGTGGTGAATTGAACAGAAAATATTTACAATTCCATTTCTCACCTGAGCGTAAGAGAGATCGGCTCGCGAAGAGACAGCGAGCTTCGACGTTGGCTGACGATCCTTGAATTACATGGCGCCTCGAATCTGTATCGTGCAATCACGCGTGCAATCGCGGCTGTATGTATTTATCGTTTTTGAGATAAAAAAAGCCGATTTATGTTACTTTCATAATATGTCGATTTGTTTCGTTTTGTTCGAAATACACATACTATTTCGATGACTCGTGTTACACTTTCGTGGAGATATTCTGAGCATTCCGAAATCACTACCATCACTACAGCTGCGACCATTGGAGTATAACTTGCAGTTAAATCAGGCCGATAAAACAAAAGAAGTGATTCGATGCGAAAGTACACATCGTGTCTAATGTAATTTATATTCGCGTTCCAACCGACATGGATATACGACATAACAACGGTGCTGTATTAGCATGTTGCATACATATACACGCCATAGAGAGAATAAGTATAATCACTGATATGACAAATGCGAAGCGCTACATCTCGAAACGGTTCTCTTTGATACACGTGCATCACTACACGTCAGTCATTTATTTGTAAAATTAATTGAAAATGCACACGTGTCTTCACGTTGAAACGACAATTGTTAATGCGGACATGAGCCGTTTTCGATACTCAGTATTGATATATTATAACACCAATGTGCCAAACTAGATAGTCACGCAAATTGAAGACAAAAGCGTTATTTTTAATCTGTGAACATATCTCAGATTTCCGATGTTATATACAATTTTGATGAGAGTCAGAGAGACAACAAATTATCTTCGTTTATATAGAACGTACCGAGTTATAAAGAAAAGCACTGAGAGCCTTTCTTCTACTTCAATTTGCGAAGTTACATCTTTCCGAGATTTGATTTTACCTTACTGTATTCAATCTCGCACAGTAGTTAAACTATCTCACAATAATAGTATGTAAAAGACGCCGAATTCCTGCAGGTGTCGCTGTCTCAAAAATACATTTCGATACATTCAGATATACACACGCACATTTACGCGCAAGTGATATGTTTGTTACTCCGTCCAACCAACTCCGGAGTTTAAGTATCTACGAGATCTCGCTTCCAGCAGCCGATCTCGTAGACGATTCGCGATACTCGCAATATTGCCCTTCCCCAACCGATCATGGTAGCGTCGTGATCCAACGATACATACCGCTCGGTTATCCGGTTCGAGGGCCTGGTGCGCGTTCACGGACGAAGTGTCTGTCAAATGAACGAGTCTCAGCTACTGCCGGGAACGGATATCACGTGGTAACCCGCGGAGGATGCTGAATGCGGTGGTAACGGCGAGTGCGGATTGCCATTTGGCTGTTGATGCTGCTGTGGTGGTATCTGCAGAGAGCGATAATCGAGCGCCGGCGCCGCCGGATGTTGACCTTCCCGATGCCTACGTAGATCGACCTTCCTCTGGAACGCCTTGTCACAAAGCCCACATTGAAACGGCTTGTAGCCGGTGTGCTTACGCATGTGCGTGATCAGGTTGCTGCTCTGGGAGAATGCCTTGCCACACACGACGCACTTGTGTGGTTTCTCACCTGTAAAATAGAATTGTGAACAATTTATGGATCAGTATACATTGTTGCACTTTCCTTCGATTATAATTATTTTTTTATAAGATTTTCAAAAAATGTTCAAACGTATAATGTGGCGTAAGTCAAAGGTATATTTTTAAACTGCAGGTCTAAAGTATCAATTATTATCGCAGATTTTGCGTTGAGTTTCTGAAAAAGTTACAAAATTTCACACTCTTCCAAATACCATTTTAGCAAGTATAATTTTGTTAATTAAGGTATGGCCTAGTACCCAATGATTTACTCGTTGTTTGCAGGTAATTACACATTGAATTCAATATATAGGACTAGTATGTCATACAAGTTGTCTATGTGACTTGCTTGTATCAATTAATTGCTCAATGCATTCTGTTGTTATCATTAACGTCAAATGCAGACTGTTGTGATTGCGATCGAATATTTCATATACATATAAGTTACAGGGAATGGAAGTAACTCGTTACTTGTAACGAAGTTACAGTTACAAGTTTTTTTTTTCTAACTTTACTGCGTTACTTTCTTTTTTGGCAACTATAACGGTAACGTAGTTACGTTTTTTTGTAACGGTAACGAATTTTAACAGTAACTTTTATCCAATCGTTACTTTGCAAACGATTGGACACTGTTCGATTTGATACAAGCCACTCATTGGGCTTGAGACTAGAAAGTCCTTAGACATCCATCCGCTGTGATTGGTGGTAATCGATTTTTAAAAAGTAACGGAAAAGTAACGAAAAGTTACTTTCTCATGTAACGGTAACTGTAACAAGATACTTTTAAAAAGTAACTTTCCATTCCCTGTTAAGTTATTGCTTTCTATAACACTACCAAGTAATAGTTATTAATTCCGTAGATCATATGTTAAAAATGTAGTTTTCTCCTTTTTGAATCTAACAACTTACAGTTTCCAATTTTTAATTCAGCAAAACATTAAAAAAAAAGCCCAAAGCTTATGTAAGCCATATTGAATACGGTTATCTTAATTAATATGTTAAAAAAAACATTTATATATATATATATATGTATAAACATGTCAAAAGTTTTTCTGAATCCTGCAACGTAATTGTCGTATGTCTAATTAAAAAATCATAAGAAATATTGAAAATCAATGAATTAAATATTAGCATCAATAAACTCGTGAATACGGTAGACACGATAAAGTTTGATCGACGACGATTAGCTACATTGTGAGATGTAAGGCGTGAGTTATAAATATACGCGTTGCAAATTCGATTATCGTGCGAGAAAGAGAACCGGTGAGCGATCTGAAATAATGAACCAAGGTTAACCAAACGCAACTGAATCAACTAATAAATCGTGGCGTCAACCGGCACTTGCGCGTCTGACAGCGATGACTAAAACCTTTGCTCGGTACTTCCAGAGACAACCGATTGTCCAAAGACAACGTTAGCTTAGTTCAGGTATGAAGTGCAATTAAAAACAATTATTTTACATGTAAAATAAGCAACCGAAGTGTGTCGTCACGTCCGCGACATTGTTATGATGATGGCTGACAAATAATCGATATGCTTGAAGCCGTGTTCGAGAAAAATTAGCAGAGAAATTGAAGGAGGTGTCGATAACCGTCAGACGTAATAAGTGAAAGAAGGATAATCGTACTTATTATACATCACGTATACGGAGTATTTTTTAAAATTACAGGAATATTATAGTATCCATCAGAAGTAAAAAAAAATGTCTAATTAAAATCAAGAAATTAATCCGTATGACTTTTTTCACAAATTGACTTTTTCAATTATTTTACATATAGGATGAGCTTATAAAAAAAAGTATACTTAGATTTTTTTTATGTCAGAAATACTTTACCCTGATAATATTTTGGTACAAATTGATTTATGTAAAAAGAAACATATTTTATAAAATGTAAGTAAATCACCTGTGCTAACAGATTGAAAATCGCTTCTATCTTTGACAAGGTTAATTTTTCGATCAGATAACTAAGTATTCTTTTCGTCTTGATAAATATACATCAGAAATTTTTTACTTTTTGTAACTCCCTGTATACTCCCTGTATACGAAATTTGTCAATTTTTATAAATTAAGCACAGAAACCGCGTTTCGGAAATTTTCGATAATAAAATATCATAGTAATAAAACTAACTCGTGAAACTATAAATTTCATCGTAATTCTCCAGCAAATGCGGTTTCATCGAAAACAGAAAGTGTCACGACGGACATCATTTATTAGCGTCAGTCGCATAATCTCGCACGCATCTTGCAATTGCTCTCGTGATATCGTTACACGAAAGAAAAAAATCAACAGCTTCTGCGTTAATCGCTCTCGCGAATCTTGACATTCAAGTACGAACGTCCCGCACGCAGATCGCAGCCTCGTGGTAGATAATAATAATAAAGAAGAAAGAAAAAAAAGAGGGTACTTGTAAATTCTTGTCACGGCCTTCTAAAAGTCCACTGTCGCTCGTCTAACGACGATCGACCGGCGGTGATAATACCGAGCAAACACCTGTACCCGCGGAGACGATTCCCTCCTCTTTCGCTCGAAATTCCGAGCAAACAATTTTATGATTGTAAAGCGATGATAAAAGTGAACGGACGCCTCCGAATGTTGTAATACGACGGAAGGCGTCGTCGTTAAGATTCTATCGAAAAGAAATTAATTCCGCGAGCGGACGTTGCGCAAGCGGTATTTCCCTCTCTCTTTCTCTTTCTCTTTCAAACATACAGTGGACAAACAGTGGAGAAAATTCACGAATATCCTGAAGGGGAAAAAAACGACTCTGTGGAAAAAGTAAAGACTGTATGTCATCATGCGAAGCGCGGCGAGTAATCGCAAGATACTTAATGTTCGCATCAGAAGATAGGATCGCGGTGATGAAAACGTTTCAATTTACGTTTACTCGATCTTACATTCTTTAATTTGCAATATCACGGCAAAATATAGATGTTGGAAAAAGTGTTCGTAAATTAATTATATATTCCAAATCGCTCAATATGTGAAAGAATTTCTTTCAAAATTGATTTCTCGTATCTCACACGTGCGCTCGGAATAAAGGAATTAGTTTCTTTTCTTCTGACTCATCTCTCTCATTGGGCGCATGTTTTTTCCTTTAAATTAAATTTATTGACGTTTCGATATATTATTGTTGGAATTATCGCCCGCAACATGGGCGTAGTGCATGACAATGTCGCTTTGTCGGAAAGCAGACACACTCCGTTTCTTACCATCCTTCACGACTATATAAAGGAAAATACAATTATCATAATTGTACCACCTACGATTCAATTTTATATCATACTGCTTGACGCACAGAAAAGCGCTATCATATGCCGCTAATATCTCAAGACAATTTATGAGCTTAGAGCAAATACATCGATTTCACTTCGTATATTTTGCAATATACTTCTATTTCCCGTACGTTTGTATTAATAATGAACAAGATAATTGTGTAAAGCAAACAAATTGTGAATAATTTAGCTAAACTAACATCAGAAGAAACAATATTATGATAATTAAAGTGTAATGTGATGTATTGAATTCATAACACGAATTATACGTTTCAACGTGTATCTCTTGTGTTTTGAAGACTGACGCTCGTGAATAATAAAAAAAATTTTGGATTATAGCTGTGTCGCAAAACACAGACGACGATTTTTCTTATTTTAAAATAATTGTGATAACAATTTCTATATAATTAAAATAAAAAATATATAATTAAATTAATTTATTTTACTTTAAAATAATTAAAATTATTTTAAAGTAAAAAATAACTGAAGCAATATGCGGGATTGACAAGGAACTTTGTGCGAATGCGCCGCTAAAATCAATACTGTGAAAATTACTCGTCGATAACGCAATGTACCTGCGACTTTGTTTGGTAATTTTATTTACGATACATGTCTGTTGAATGTATCGCACTGATACATGCCGCATATTTATTACTAAGCTCGTTATACAACTAATGGGATGGTAAAAATTGCGCGTGCAAACTTGCAAACGTGCTTAATTATAGCATTCACTTTGAGCAAGCAAATGCGACCGATTGTTATTTTCCACGATTATTTTACGTTTCGTTTTTCCGAACGGCATGTGCGCAACATTGTTGACACAATGTAATAAACATCTTTCTACCGTTTTTTGTCTGGCGACGAAAACTATGTCTTCGTGTTAAATAACGAGTGGGATAAAATATTGCAAGAAATACGATTGTACTTTTAGGAATGATATGCGTTATATCACGGAAGTTAAAAAGCACGAACGCGAATGTCGTTTCTATGCACAAAGCTTTATTGGAAAACTTATGAGGAATTTGCGTTCAGGGCTTTCATAGTCTCGTGGCGGCCTTGAAGGCACGACGGGGTGAACACTTTGCGGAATTAGAGCTAACGAAACTCAATAAGAAAACGTCATTAGGACACGAAATTGTCCATGTTTAAAACATAAAACAATCGTATTTGCGAACTAATATTTAATTAGCTCGAGAAGAAGAGAGACGGCAGGAGGAGAGATATAATATTCTCGTATCGAAGCGGCGATTAAATCACATTTGCTACGTCTATTTGCCTTTCAAGACTAACATAACGAGGTAAGGAGGGAGAGCGACTCCGGGGGTTGAGGAGAAAGGGGAGAAAAGTGTGACAGGGCGATGTTTGCCCTAGACTTTTTAATTTCTCCGGGACGAGGGTGGGTATCGCCGTCATCTCTCGCGCACGGACACACGAAGAAACGAGAAGGTACGATTCGCGGGCTGCCCGACAATATTTATCGAGAGTGTCAGCGACCCATACAACGTGCGTATACACCTCGTCCTATACGTACTATGTCTATCGATCCATCTCGCGACTCTCATTACCGGCCCCTTACCGGCCGACTTAAATATTTACCGGCTGAAACGTTTGCTTCGCGGCCGATTATAATGATAGGAGCGAATAGCGCGCTTCTCCCTTTCTCTCCCTCTCCCTCTCCCCCCCCCCTCTCTCTCTCTCTCTCTCTCTTTGTATGTGCG